AAGAAATAGAGGCAAAGCCTTCAACTTGATCCTAGGGCAGTGCACCCGACTATTAAAGGACAAGATGAAGCAGACACGGACTTCGATGACGTCATGTTAAGATGCGACCCACTGGAGCTACGAAAAAAGATCCATAAGACGATCAGGCCCAGACCGATGATAATTTGTGTACCACACATTATCCAACTGGAAAAACAATGTTGAATTTCCACCAAGGGAGCCTTACCGCTTCCAAATACCACGAGCAATTTACCACGAAACGGACATTGCAAAATCCGTGGTATTCCAAGCTACACGACGCAACCTTGCTGCATACGCCAACCTACTCCACCCAACACAGAATACGCTGACCTGGGAGTCGAAGACCAGAAGACAGTCTCGGATACGCAGAGGAACGGAACTATAGTTATATCTTCTTGAGACATCCCAGACGGTTATGAGGATTTACATTTTCTGTTCCGAATAACTACACCAGATTAGTAAACAGAACCAGTGACTACTTTGCCATAAGGCCTGATAACTTACTGCTTCAACGTTTATACGGTATCACACGGCTCTCTGAGGCAAACTACACCAAGGTCGGTATCGACGTACAGATCCCTTTGTTTCGGAGTGTTTGCTTATTGGCTGCAGAGAACAAAGAAGTGGCAGCGAGCCTAAGAAGGAAAGTGAATTAGGAGAGCAGTACAGTTGAAAATGCTTCGCTGCCGTGACCGAGTATGTTATTAGAACTGGAAACAGAAAGATTTTCCTGCCAGACGGACCATCAGCTCGTCAAGCTTTCCTTAACAAAGATAAAGAACAAAGATAAGACAAAGAATATAAATGACCAAGAGCGATCGATGACAAGTCTAGATTCGAAGAAGCGTTAGCAAGTCAAGCACGTCGAGCAAGAAAAGACTCTAGTACGTTCAAAGGATGAACCCTAGGCTACTATCAGCAAACTGTAAGATAAAATGACACAGGATTGACAACCCTGGAGGAAGAACAGGATTGATGCCGACTCTGACATCACGCAGTCAGATGACGAGAAAGACGAGAAACGTTCTTTACGTTCGACGTACGCTGTTCGCGGACGGAACGAAGAAACCGAACTAAGAAGGCATAGTCCCCACACAAAAGATTGGACGACTAGATATGAGAGAGGTCCAGCTATGGACAACCATCCACGTTGATCTATTCTGTAATAAAGAACATGGTTACCGACATCAGGAAGCCGACGTGCAATTACAGTGAAGAGTACCGGAGCAAGCTGAAGGTCCAGCACACAGCCAGTTAGCTGCCACAAACAGAGAGTATGTTCGATGAAGAGGAATCACAACATCTTATCTGTTAAGAATGTCCGCAAAAATTGCAACATCGTCTATGACTGTCCGAAAGGAACCTACACAGTCATTATAACCAGGCCTACCGGACGTAGTATACGAAATGAACAGTGAAAGATTACACGTTCATGACCCAGGAAAAAAGGGAAGGCACTTGTGAATACTGTCGCCGAAATAAGGAAGGCTTCAGCAAAGACAAGTTAAAGCCGCATCAAGGCGAAGCTGCTATATAAGCAACTCGTCTATCCATCGATTTAAGATTTCCGATGGGCGAATATGAGCAATCAAAACGCAAACTGCCCTGTGACCGTCGAAGACATCGACACGGCACAACTATATGGGCAAGATATTAGGCGTTGAAAGGCAAGACCCTCGTACGAACCGAACGCAGTGGCAGGCAATGCAATGAAAGTGCCAGAGACTTTTTGCAATTACACAAGGATGTTTCCTAACGATGGACATTTTCTTTGTGGCAGGAATTCCGTTCCTGTAACCTAAGCCGTAAAATCGATTTACAACATCTAGACACCTCCCAACAGGAAGTAGAAACCATCCTAGACGCAGTTCAGGAGGTCTATCGATTCTACCAGGCTCGTGGTTTTAGAATCACGACCATTCATGTGGACAATGGGTTTGAGCCTCTGTCCAAACACAATCATGGCAATGCGGGTGGACGGTAGTGAACGTTGCAGTGCTAACGAGCACGTAACCGAGATCGAACGTAGAATCCTGGTAGTCAAGGAAAGGACCGAGCTGTCCGGCATAGCTACTGTTTACACGCATGCCAAATATATTAACCGTCAACTTGTTTTTACAAGTCGTCAAACAGTTTGCGTACTTCCCAAGTAAGGCGGGGTCAGCGAGACAATGAGCCCCCTATGATAATGATGGGAGAGTCCTGGACTATAAAAAGCAACTGAGCCTGCAGTTCGGGACTACTGCCAGGTGCATGAAGAAGACTCGCCCCTAACAGCATGGTAGTACGCACAAAGGCGGCCTATGTATGGGAACGAAGCGGAAATAAGCGCAAGGAGGTGTACAATTTATGAGCCTGCCGCTCCGGCAAGAAAAATACTCGGCATTCATGGGATAAGATCCCAATGCCGACACAGTGATAGCTGAGTCAATACTATTAGGAAAAGATCAGCTAAACTACTCGTTTTTACTGATCGAAAAAATAGACCACATAGGTGATGTCGAGATCACAGGAGTGAGGGGAAGAAAGCAATGACGCACCCCCACTACCAATGATCCAAACCGATTGAGACCTGGACGCGGAGCTGAAACCATTGACGAAAAGGAAGATGATCCCGAAGATCCCCAGCACACGTCAACACGACGACGCGAATCGAAGTCAACGAACCGAATTAAATCGTTAAACCGAAAATCGAAACGGAACGGTTGCCCAACCTATCGTGAACTGGTAGAGGAACCGGAAACCCTCTACGGACCAACAGCCCTGGAACAATTCCCAGGAGTGGGCGTTGAAGACCAAGCGGCACTGAGCAGAACGCAGGAGTCGCAGGTCAGTAGATGAGGACACAAGCAAAGGAATCGTATATTCCAGCTTTGACTGGAAATAAGTATGAGACGGCAAACGTCCATAAGCAACGTGAATGTGTCTTGCACCCAGATGAAAAATGTTCTACACACAGGTGGAAGAAGAACCTGATGTGTGTAGCAGCCATCCTGACACAAATTGTCATTGAAGGCTGGAACTCAAGGAGTGGAAGGACAAAAGGCACGTGCAGCCTTTGCCAGAGATGAAACAAGTTACATCTCAGGGAAACTTCCGTCCCGAAAAAATTGGAAAGGAACTCAAGCGAAATGAAACGCAAAGTATCTAGAGTCACACCTGTCCTGAAATATGAAAAGAACGGAAGATAAAGGCCGAGCGTGCATGGAGGCAAAAACAGCAGTGTCTTCATGCTCCAAAAGAAGCAAGCTCGCACAACAGTGTCGACAGAAGCAGTGCTACTATTCCTGCATAATCGACGCTGAAGAGGAAAGGGATGTGGAGTAATTGACATCACGAACGCCTTATCCACGACAAGAGTCGGAGGATAGAAAAGATATGTAATCATTAAGTAAGAGGATACTAGTAGACATGCTGTGTGAAAGTGCACCAGATGTCTACAAACCGTCGTCAACAACGATAAGAAAGCAACAAGCATTGCTACTTGCAATGCTGAACGCCATCTACGGCATATGGTAGCTAGCCGTACTATACTACCGTGAAGTTCCGGAAGACGATGCGTCCGGAACGATTTAAGATTAATCCTTACGACCCTGTGTAGCCAACAGAAATGGTGCACAGGAAGCAACAAACAGTCTGTATGTAGACGACTGTAAGCTTAGCCACAAGAGACTCGAATGTTAAACGACCAGCTGATCAAAGTGCTTGTGATGAATACGAAAGCATATTCGAGGACGGGGGGCCACTGAGAGATGACGTTGAGCCGAGGAAAGGTCCTCACGTATCTTGGCATGACCATAGACTTCACGACGAAGGTCAATGCAACGTATCAATGTACAAGTAACGTTGATGAATCCTGGAAGCCTTCGAGAACGCATCGCCAGAGAGAAGGGGCGAACGAAACTAGAAGTATTGCAGCCCACGAAAGACCTAGTTCATAGTAGACGAATCCTCAAAAAGCTCCCAACGAGCAAAGGCAGACACCTTTCACAGCCTGGTGGCTAATTGTTGATTCGCTACGAAGAAGCCCGACCAGACACAGGTTACGGCGATTTCGTTCCTTAAGACTAGAGTCAAGGAACCGAATAGGCAGATTGGGATAAAATAGTCCACCTCATGCCAGTACATTAGACGTACTAGAAACTACCATTAGTTTCAAAGCCGACGGAAGTGGCATATTGAATGTATGTTGATGGTTCTCCGGAGTCCACCAAACATGAGGGTCAACCGGAGTGGTTTGACCATGGGCACGTTCCCATTATCGACTTCACGAAACAGAAGTTGAACACGAGAAGCTCAACTGAGAGTGAACTCGTTGCAGTTGATGACCTGATGACACTCGATCCTTTGGACGAGCAGTTCCTTCGGGAGCAAGGCTATGTAGTTAAAAGAAACTATAGTCTATCAGGACAACAAGAGTGCCATTCTTCTAGAGAAGAACGGCAAAGCTTCTAGTAGTAAACGAACGAAGCACATCAACATTAGGTACTTCTTTGTGAGCGACAGAGTCGCAAAGAAGGAGATCAGTGTGGACTGGTGTCCAACTGATGATATGGTTGCGGACTTCTGGACGAAGCCGAACCAAGGTCGACTGTTCAAACAGAACGTGGACAAGTTGATGGGTGTTGTGGAACACTCAGAGCCAGGGCACTCAGAAGGAGGGTCACGGTCGGACAAGAAGGTCCGTTCAAAGAAGGAGCGCTAAGCGCAGTAAGTAAGTAAGCATGGTCGACGACTAGGACAAGCTCGACGACCACAGGAGTGTGTTGGGGATTCGCGATTAGGGATTCAACCTGTACCTCTGTACTAGAATTTGATGCCAGTAGCAAAACTGGTAACCCACCCACTTTTTCAGTAGTATCTCAATAGCAACAGTAAACTAGAAGAGAGCTTAGAGCAACTAACAACGGCAAGCTGTACAGGGGCAGGATCGATCTTCGGTTTGTAGTTTCTGAGGGACAAATAAAATAATAAATTAATGACAATGACTGACGAGATTTCTATTATTTGGAATGGAGTTCCTATGAGTTTAGAGGAGGTGCAGCAGTATTTGCAGGATGCCTGACATGTTATGAGACAGGATGGACTTGCGAGCCAAATCTTTCCCATGGCTTTGGAAACGTCTGCGCTACAGGATTTTCGGAGCGGAGGGAGTCTTCGGATGGTGACACTGTGGAAGTTACCAAACCAAACAAGCACAAACCAAGCAGCGTTCACACAGATGGTGGTGTCATTGGACGCGAAAACTCTGCTGATATGCCTTTCATAGCAGCTTTTTTCATTGCAAGGTGAATAGCCGCAGGAAATGTCTGGCATTTCTGGGATTTGATAATATACCCCCATTCGGTACCTTCCTTGTATTCAAGGTAAAGGACCTTATGAGTGCTTGCTAGATTCGTTAGCACCACCGGGGGAGACCTCAGTGTATTGAATGCATTGAGCCCAATCAACTGAAGCTGAGCTTCCAACATGCATCCATCATGTGAATTTGCCATTGCCTTGTTAGTTTTTATTTCAATGGCAAAGCTCACCATGTGCTTCATAATTTGTCCCCAATTGCGATTCTGGGTAAGAACTGCAATGTCTGTTCTGCCTTGCACCCGATGAAGCAGGAAGACCTTTTGTCCTTTGACTTTAAATGGATCCTCTTGTCGCGGAGTGTAGATCTCTGAATAGTACAAACGTCCATTGATACAATTTTGCCCTCCTGACACATCTTCAGCTATCAGGTCAAGCCCACTGAGAAAGTCAGAAACTGGTTTATAGGAGGTGCTTTCCAAAGGATTGTTGCCAGTCCAATTCCAATCAAACGTCCATTTTCCAGTATCTTCCATATTCTTTGGAAGGTCGTAAATGTCTGGCAACTCTGCTATTAATAGTAGGGGGTACGACGTAGGTTGAATTGATAAGCATGGGCCGCTGGGCCGCTCAATGGCCGCGGTGCCTTTACAAATGCTCAAACGCCACAGGGCTTCAGATTGTAGGGCCACGTCCACCCTGGATGGGACGCTCAATCGCCGCGAGGCTACGCTGTACCGTACCGATGCTTCAGTCCGGAATCCAGATTGGGGAGGCCTCTAGCTCCTCGAGAACATGGTCAAAATGGGAAAAATCATGGATCCGAGGCTTGATGACTGGACCGTCAATAATATTATCTTTTCAGAGTTTTCCTTTGCTTCAGACAAGAATTCCGACGAGTGCCACGGGCAAGCAAGCATGCAAACGATGCAACTGATTGTGGTGGTGACTTGACTTGACTCGACTCGTGCTACCGTACGGTTGCTTGCCAGCGGATGCACCTACTAGCTAGCAACGGTAAAGCTTGACATGCATGCACACTCGTTTCTCTTGTGCTCAATGTCCCTACTCTAAACCCCCCTTATTTGTATGGCTCCAACTTACTTGGCTGACCACAACCAAGATCCTTACAGGGGCCCCGTGAACCTGTAGTCATCCACATGTAGGCTGGCTCGGGCCGCCAGCTCGCATCGCAAAAAAGAGAAGGTTGTGAGTGCGCGCTGAGAATGGGAATGATTAGTCACGAATACAACTTACCGCTGATTTCGATCCATGAGTTGTTGGTGGGAGTGTTACGGTGACTGGGTGCTTGGAACATGCGCAACTGCCAAGCAAGTCTCTCCTGTCCATGGGGTAAGGCCTCTTCAATGCCACAGAATGTTGCCTGACATGGTGCTAACTTGTTGGGTCTATATTCACTACGGCTGTGCTTGAACATCTTGATATTCCTGTAAAAAAGACGCACCACTCGTTCATTGCATGGGATGATGGTTGGCGCATTTAGGTTGGATTTTCTTCATTTGGTTTAACCAGGCGGGCATTCTGATGCTGAGGCTGGTAATCAAAGTCGCAAAGAATGTTTCAAACCTATCTTCGCGCTGGTTTTCTTTGTGAAGGAGTCTATCCAACTCTTCCGAGCCATGTTTTAAACTGGTTGTGTGGTTCAAATGAAGTCAATCTTTCGCCCTTTCAAGGAAGGAAAGCGAGGCATCTCCGAAGCTGGCCACTACTGAGAAATGGCGCTGTGACACTCCTGCTGTTGCTGCTTCTATTGATGTGAATTGTGTGAAAGGATTTGTTGGTTTTTCGAAATTCTGCATAGATTCTACATTTGGAGTTGCTATGGTCTTGGTTACTCCATCATGCGAGTGTCGCTACTCCAAATGCCAATCACTGATGTACCACCCGCCTCATTCCATTGACATTACCATCATTGGGGAATTATCTAGAAAAGCAATTAATGGTATAGCACCATGGCGAACAATGGAAATCGTACTCCCAAACCCTACGTTGGAAATCCATTCGGTCAGGTACAACCTCCAGTTTCTTTGGGCACCACCTACTACGCCGATCCGCAATCACGTATTTTTTCTTCATTCGATGAGGCCTACAGTCAACTGGATTCGTTGTATGGGGGGTTCTTTGGACCCTACAAACTCATCATTTCGGGTGGTCCCTGTTGGTTAGGTGGCAAGAAGATCGATAAGGAAATGAGAACACGAGCTCACCGGTATCGATGCTCTGTTGACGGTTGTCCTTGGCGAGCACAAATCAGAACATTGAAAAGTCAGGACGTTCATTTCGAAAGTGTGTACGTGATCTATATCACACCAACCAGTCACCACGACCACGATTTTACCAAAGCTGCACCGAACCATACCGATCAGTATGGGTTGTCTCCTGTATTCAAACAGCTGGCGAACTCATTCATTTCGGGTCAGTGGAACCATCACAGAAGAACCGTACTTGAGATTGCTCCCAATGAAATCTCTCAATTCATTGTGTCAAGTATCTATCGCGAAAACCCACAACACCAGCATCTCGTTGACTCGCAAACCAAACGTTATCACCTTGGCAATCAAGTAAAGAACTTTCTTCGAGTTGTGAAAAGAAATTACGTCAAAAGAACCATCGGTGTGGACCGAATCATGGACAGCGATTCATTGTCACGCGTACTAGCTTTGTACAGATTCGTCATTCCTTTTGGATATGTCCCAAGATCAGACTATGCTACTGTTGACCAGCTGTGTGAAGCATTACGTGCACCTGGACCAGAATCCGGACACATGTTTCTTTTCAGTCTCTCTGAAGGGGCGGTGCATGACCGGTACAAGAGTCGTATTGTGGGTTACAACCCGAGGACGTTGGAGATGTTCGAAAAAAGGACGGAACAATGCTTCTTTGCTGTTTCAATTTTGTCTCTGTGGCAGCTGATGCACTTCACGAAACGTCCAAAGGGAACTAAGCAGTTGTGTTCTGACGGTACGGGTGGAATTTGCCAGGACTTGGCACCCACTATCATTACAGGTGGACTATCCCAGAAATATCGTGATGATCAGTCCAAAGTGACATCCTCTTTGCGACCTTTTGCATTCATGAAAGGGTCTGAAGCAATTCATCCATACTTGCTGCAACTGTACTGCCTACGCGACCTGAGTCAACGACTCTTTGGAACAAGCTTTACCATTGATTGTGGTACATCGGATCACTCAGCAGCTTTCGTCACTGCACATCGCCACTTTCATCTCTGGCCTGAAGTGTGTGATCTTACTTGGAGAGCTTTCAAAGTACCGGTCACGCAACACCAATCACAAACAATATCTTCTGCGACTACACTTGCCCTCGCCAACAAAAAAGAGGTATTCGGTTCCTTTGGAAAGCCTTTTGGTAGTCAACAGTGTGCACTCAGCTCACATCAACTACAGGAAAATTTGTCTTTGTCTATCTTACCAGAACCAGTGATCTCAGTATCGAATGACGCGGAAAACAACTGCGTCGCGATTGCTAGTTGCGAAACGGAAAACAAGAAGACGAAGTCTCTTGGAAAAACGTCAAGCGATGGTGGGAAACTGTTGAAGCTTATATCCAACCATTATCCTAACTTTGTCCAACCAAATCGACGAAAGCATACAAGCTTATCGGACATCCTACGGGAACCTTCTTTGTTGTATCAACCAGTTGAAGGTGTTACCCTTTGTTATTTCCACGTCGTACAGCACTTTCGACAGAACAATAGCTTCGTGCGTTGCTTCAAGAATCGACTTTTCGCAGCTAAAGAGGAGGCCACTGCGAAGAAACCCAAAAAAAAGGGGTCGGAAGATTCCACAACCCAGCACCAATCAAGCATTTATCCAAGGGCATATCACATGGTGCAATGGATCCACAGAAGCCGAACTGAGGAACAGAAGACCGCAGTATCTTACTTGATCCTTGTTGATTGGATCCGACGGGGTGAAGTAGCGGCGGCAGATCTTTTCTATCGTTCGTACTGTTCATTTCCTTACAACTGTTGGAACTACGCAACTACAAACGAACAGATGACATACCCAAGCAACTGTGCTATGGAAAGCAACATGCACCATCGCATCAAGAAAGGAGCCAAGCACTCAATCCGGGCTAATGTATCTACAGAAGGATATGTCATCGAAACACTTCCAAAGCTGTTTGCCAATCTCGAGACAACTGGAAGAGATCCTTGCAACCTTGAATATCCGAAAGACGTATCACGACTTATGGTATGTGTAACTGCCTTCTTTGATGCTGCTGTTGATCTATGTGAATGCAAAAGTGATAGTGAAGAGACCTATTGGTTGGCAAACTGTGGTCGCATGATTGGAGTTCCTCTGTCGCGTGCAAGAAGATTGAACAGGGAAATGTCTTTGGATGGTAACATCAGACACTTCATGACAGAGTCGGATGTTGCTGATAAGCCCTCCTCCTATTATTGGCGAGCCGCAAAGTCAATGATTGATGCAACTAAGAATATCTGTCGTTTGAGCTGGAAGAATGGAATTATCGTTGGCGATTGCATTGACTGTTGGAAATATCTTGGGTATGGATGCCCAGGTGCCGCTTATTTGAGAAGCAAAAACAACATGCTTGATCAGTCATTGGAGAACAAGAGAAAGGTCAAGTGCAATTCGAGAGGATTAGTGGCGAAAGCTCTAGTCCGTGGCTCACAGTATGACATGTACACGGGTGGAAGGTCCACTGTGACTGGAAAAAGACGTAAGGCGCCCGAAATGCTTAAATCAAATGAAGCATTCCTTCAATCGCTGACCTACCCACAGCTACGAGACACTGCTCGTTACTTGGGCATCCTTAAAGAGTGCGTCGTGGATGACAAGATTACACGAGAGAAGATGATTGCTGTTCTGGTAGAAGACTTCTACAAAGATCCTGTTTCGTATCGAATCAAACAAAATGGCGTTGCAAGGGTTGATCCCGCAGATTTGGACGATTTGTCTGAGGCCTCGTTCGATGTATGTGATGCAATGGAATCGTTTGAAGAGGATGACGGTGGGTTCTTGGAAAAGTTCAACGTAGATAGTATTATGTAATAGGTCAGCTCAGTTATGAAGGAGTTCATCCCAATATCGACTGTGCATCGTTGTTCCTTTCGCGACCGTTGTTTAGTTCAAGCACTATCTACGTTTTTTACTCTCTTTTCGAATTATCCTACGTAATATCGAATTGCTTTGCTGATGATAGGAGCAATCCAATGCGACTCTATGAACAACTCACACACCGATGGAAGCCACTCCGTGATTTGGTTTTACAGTGAATTCAAAATCGATATAGACAAAGTGGTCTCTTTCGGATTGCACAGAACCAATGCTGTCTTGAACTGAACTGAAAAATGTTTGATTGTTGAGTGGGTATGCTCGAACAATCAGCAATATTTTTGCATCTCCGATGTTCACTCCAGCCTCGCAGAAGCTCATAAATCGTTTTTGTTGCAATAACGTAATCATGATGCGAGCTGGTAGACTTGAAGACTTCTTGCGTCAACGTGCGGAGGAACGGGCAGCGGAAGAAGCCTTTCAGAATGAGGCAATTGCCCATCACGAGGAAGAGGAAAGAATGATGATTGAAAAGCGAGACCAGTGGTCCTTTTACAAGGGAAGTAAGATCTTGTGGGATCATTTGGATGAGACTCGTACATTTGAGGCTGTACTACGTGATCAGTATAACTGGAAGCAACCCCTTTTCGATTGGTTGAACAATGAGTTCGGTGGATTGACGCATCTTCACTGGTCCAACGTTTGGGCGAACAGCTTGAACTTTTCCTCGTATGATGGATGGCCCTTTCCTGCGAATTGGCGTGGTTGGGCTACTTGCGACTCATGTATGTATCTTGGTATGATCTGACAATTGCCATTGTCATTGTAAAATGTGTCTTCTCAGACGTTTTGGTTGATTGTTATGTAGTAACGAGAAGGTGGACGGATGACAGCAGCAGTTCCGATAGGCTTGTTTTGACCAACAAGGATGCGATTTACGTCATCTTCAACAAGCTCATCAACAACGATGAACTCCTGATGGATGTGTGCAATGCCAGTCTCAAGAGCGGTGGCATTTGGACGCATGAAATGATGAAACAGCGTTTCTTGGACTGTTTCGGGCCAGAGTCTCTCAAAAAAGGAGAGTGGGATACTATGGCTCAATACGAAGCAAAACACCGAAAACTCCACCAAAAACTGCGTGCTCCTGTCTTGGATATGTCGAACGTCAATCAAGGACCTGTCAGTCCTATTGGAAATAGCGGCATCAGTGGTAGTGAAGGTTCTAGTGAAGGTCCCGCGACGCAACCTCCTGTTGTCAAGAAGAAAAAGTTGCCTTATCTTCGTCCTGTCAGGACAAATTTGAAGGAGTGCTTCGACAGTGTTGGGAACCAAAAGCCTCAGGCAAAGCAAAGCAAGAAGAGGATCTCCGACTGTAAAGACGACGACAAGAAGCCACCAGCAAAGAAAACAAAGAAGGAATGATTCAACAGCTGTTGTGAATGTTGACCAAGCAAATAGCAAGGCCTTACTTGGCTATGCCGCATGCTCATGGTGGATTGTCATGGCATTGTGGCATCAACGGGATTGATTGGATTTGAGTCAATAGTGTACGAGATAGCACGGACCTATTTTGCGAACACTATTCTTGAAACAGTTCGCTTCTCTGCACGCCGGCATATTAAGATATCCAACATTAATAACATATAAACACCGCCGTATATGTGCGACGTCTAAAACTCCCCATTGCTCTCCTTACAGTCGTTTATAACTGGCGTTGCTGGCTTGTTAAGAAGCAGTCTGGCCGCCATCCCGAATGATCCGAAAGATTTGTATCCATGTATCACGAAAGAGCATCCGCCCTTCATTTTTGTGTTGGCACCAACTTTCAAGCTCGATGTTCTGAGATTCTACCATTCGAACTGGCTGCATGTCTGTTGTTGTTGTTGAGCATTAAGATGTTGTGGGCAGGGCTGAGCAAATCTACGAGTTGTCTGCTGGGGGTGTTACTACTGACAGTCCTGATCCAAAAAGGCCATGGATTCTTGGTATTATCCCCAAGGCATGCTACCGGTACAACTACAAGTACAAGCACCGCTCTCGATGGCAGTCTTCACGAGCACGAGCATAAGAATGGACATGACGAGCAAGATGATGAGTTGGATGTGACGATGACGACGAATATCACATTGACTTTGCCTCGCTTCTTGGAGGGAAAAGTGGAGGATGGCTTTGATTATCCATCTCCTCTGCACCACATTCATGTTCGCAGCATTTTGTCCGACGCGGAAGTCGCACGGTGCTGGCAATTGGCCGAATCTTATGCCCAACAGACTGGTTGCTGGGAATCGCCCGATCAGGAACGGCATGCCACGTATTCCACCTGTGATTTTCCCATACAAGACAATCGAGACTTGTCCGACTATTTGACGAGTATTCAGTTGGACGATCGAATCTGGAAGATTCTGGCAGAGTGCTATGGCATTCAGGAGACTGATATGACATACCTGGACTTTTTCTGTGCCCATTATCAGGCACAACAGCCCAATGACAAACATGATACTAGTACACAACAAACCACCATGGATCGATTGGAACCCCATCGAGACGGATCTCTTTTATCCTTTACCGTACTACTCAATGATCCCTCCAACTTTGCTGGTGGAGGCACCTTTTTTGATGCCCTTCGAGATGTCGTGCCAGACACTACACATCCACAACAACAAGTACTATACCAAGGAGGTGTCGTTCGTCCCACGCGAGCGGGAGATGGCACCTTTCATTCCGGCAAGATTCTCCATGGAGCCGATGTCGTGACAGCGGGGAGTCGAACGGTCTTGGTAGGATTTGTCGATGTGGCCGAATGGGCCCAACGACCGGGCGCCTTGGCACTAGCCTGTCGCGATTGGGGACGAATGGATGTCGCCACCTTTCGATACGAACGACAACGCAGCAAGTCGAAAAATGGCTGGTATCTCAACCATCAACGATGGTGTCCACCCAAAAGTTGCTTGAAAGGGTTTGTTCCAGCATTTAGCTCGGTGGAACGTCGCGCCGATCCCGAATTTCAACGACAACAGAAACTCCAAGCCGAAGATGTTCTACTACGGACTATTCTAATGACTGGGAATGAAGCGGAAGAAGAAGAACAGCATCATGGATTCGACTTGTTGGAGGGAGACATTACAGTCCTCTGATGAAGAAATCTCTCTTTTTTTTTTGCCCATTGATGCATGACAAGCAAACTTGACGAGATGTGGGAATTTGAAGGAAGAATGGGCATGTGGTGGGTTGGGGTCGCAAGAAAGGAAAATCCCTGCTGGGTCAAATTAATGCCATTGCCTTGCGACAACACCAACCATGGAAGCTGGGAGTTGCGAGGGAACACTTTTAAAGTGCCGTTGTTCGGATCTTTTCGGCAGCTCTTTATCCGACGGAAATAGCAGCACAGTAGCAATGAAGAGTACGTACCGGTTCGTTACAGGGGCTACGGTTCGCCAGGTTCTCCACAAAAACAAACAACACAACCACGTTGCTTGGTTCAAGCTGGTTTTCGAGAAAGACAACACTCCTTCGACATGGACAATTCGCTGCTTTTTTGGCTACTGGGGCTATCATTAATCTCCAACACAGAGTATTGCAATAGCTGGCTTTGTCCGGCTTCTGGCTATCAAGGGCATCTTACATAAATAATTAGTACTAGTAGTCCTATCTGGTGAAATGTGAATTAGTGGCTCCAGCTTTCATCTCTCGAACCAAAGAACCTCGTCAACGAAACCCATCAAATCAGCTGTTGCTGACTCAACAAAATCCACCTCTTTGCCACCATGAATATGTTGATGATTGTTGTTTCGCTTAAATCTCAAAGGAAATGCCAGTGGCAGCTTGACTGGTTTCCCAGAGCATCTTGATTCCTTCGGGATCCACTTCATATGGCTTTTCCTCGTTGATGACTGCAGGTCCCTTTGTTCCAGCAGGTCCATAATGGACCCCCGATTGAACATCGGGATGCATCATTCCCTTGAGAATGCCCATCGCTCCGTCTTCAGGAGTTTGCACCCTTTCGGCTGCAGCGAGACAGAAAAATTGTTGTGAGTTGATTGCACGGTCAGTACATCCCAAAAGGCTTTAACCCACCACACCATACGTACCAAAACCTTTCATCATATCTTCGGCACCATCAACATGGTTGGCCAGGCTGGTGGCAGACATGCCAGGATCAGCACAAATGGCCAGAATTGGGCTCTTTTTGGCTTGCAGTTTTTGATGGAGTGCTTTGGTGAAGACAGCGTTGGCCAACTTGGTTTGAAAGTACCTCAAGAAAGGAGCCCCCGAAAACTTTCCAACATCCATTTCGGATCCACCCAAATTGCCACCATTTTTCTCCAAATACTTGCGTTCCAGGCACTTGTTGGGCGTCATGTGACGACCACCACTGGAATGATTGACAATGCGAGCATCCCCCCCTTGTTTTTCTAGCAGAGGCAACAGCTCTGCGGTCAGAAGAAAATGGGAAAGATGGTTGGTTTGCATTTGAGTGTCATATCCATCCACCGTGGCTTGATCCGGTGTGGCCATGATGCCTGCATTCCAGCAGACACAATAAAGAGCAGTGTATTTGCTCTTGATTTCTGCTGCAGCCTTTCGGACACTCTCAAAACTCTGGAGGTCACATTCGATGGGCACAAACTTGCCATTGGGGACTTCTTCCTTCAACTTAGCCAAGGACTTGTTGGCACGGTCTGAGCTGCGATTCAATAGAAGGACTGCACCTCCCTTTTCAGCAGCAGTGCGAGCGGCAACGTATCCTGTTCCGGAGGTGGTGCCTGTGATGGCAAACACTTTGCCTTCAGCACTAGGCAATTCCTTCTTGAAGTCATTGTACCAAATGGTTGCGACGGCAAGGTTTTCCATGGCTCTGTCTTAAAATAGTGGTAAGTTGGTAGAGAAGTGAGATTATTGGTTGAGACTGTTGTTTTTATGGGACTCTCAAAGGTGCCATCATCGCTCTCCAAGGATCTTTCATCATGGTTGCATCAAGTTGGACCCGATCTTGGATCTTGGAGGGGCTTTTTAAGGGTGGTGCTTGGCCTTGCATCTTCGATGATGTTCATAGAAGAGCAAGCTCAAGTAACGGGTGCGTGGCCTTGCATCTTCGATGATGTTCATGGAGGAGCAGAACAAATCCAACCCCGCTGTGACGCGCTCAGACCAAATATCTGACCCTACTTGCCTACTAGCTAGCACAATCCACTAAACCTTGTCTTTCAAACATTTTATTATTATTGTTGGACGGACGAGCCTGGGAAACTAGGGAGTTGGATGTGTCCATGGATATTACCAGTGGTACCATGGTCGCGAAAGTGCCAATTGCATGGGTGCATTCATATATTCGAGCCCAGGCAGCGCAGTCAAATGTTATACTCTCCTGCGACGCTAATCTTGACTTCTGACGGTGTTCCCACTTGCAGCTGATTGCGGGCCTTGCTTTCCTGAGGTTTCTAAAGTTATTGAATCTGCATCCAAGCAAACGTGAGTCCACCCCTCTGTAGCAAGGCACTAGCTGTCGACAACGCGATCTTCCCCCACAAATTTTTCCACTGTGGCTCACAAGAAAACCAAGAATGCACGGATTTCCAACCTAAAGGAATCACGTTTGCGATTCTACGGCTCGAGCAGCAAATGCTAATTCAGCTCAACGCAAACGCAGCAATGCTAGTAGTGAAAAGAACGTCTACATCTTGTCGTTGATTTCTGTGGAGCACTCCAATCGCCCTCAACAAGAGCAGTCGATTGTTGGGGTATTTGCCGACAAGGGGATTGCAGCAGCAATTGCTGGGAGTGTTGATACTGTTGCCTATGGTACTTTTGATATGGCATTGACGAGTTTGAAGATGATCACATTGGCAGGCGGGATGACCCGCCAGATAATGGTTGTTTGCTTCAGATTGGGAGCCAAGCCACAGGTGAGGGTGATTATTTCAAGTTGGAGATTTTAAAAGAATTGCTGGTCCAAGATTCATCCTCTGTGAGTCCTTCCAAAATATCCACCAAGAAAAGAAAGAAGACTCCATCCAGCGACTCGACTGCGTCATCGGAAGATCAAGATGAACACAGAGGCACTCGCGAAACGTATTTCCGCTTTGCTCGCTGCAAAATGGGCACACCCTTACTCAGTGGTGCGTGGCTACGTTAATGCTCGGCTCAGCCTAGCTATTCTT